GGAGCAGCCCGGCTTCACCCTCTCCAGGACAAACCTGTTTGTTCTTCTACCAGTCCACAGAATATGCAACGCTCTTCTCCAGCACCACAGCTCAAAGGCATCAATTCTCTATCATCCCTGGTTACTGTCCAGCTCTCCAATGCATAGCACACAATACTAGAAAGAGTAAAAAATCCTAATTGTCCAACAAAAGGCAAATAGATAAATAAACTATGGTACATACACACTATGGCAAACTATACAGTGCTAAAGGATAATGATGAATTTGTGAAACATCCCATAACTGATTAATGTGGAGAACTTTATACTGAGTAAAATGAGTCAATCACACACAGGCAAATACTGTGACTGTTGTTATGTACTGTCATCTGTGACCCAATCTATAACATTCCTAAACCCCGCTCTACCCTGTGCCAATCGTATTGTCCCTGACATACCTACCGCCATTACCCCAGTCACTGAAATCAATCCATCTCATCAAGGGTCTTCCTCTCCTGCGCTGTCCTTCCACCCTCCCAAGCATGACGTCCTTCTCCAAGGACTGATCCCTCCTTGCAACAGGTCCAAAGTATGTCAGACGAAGCTTCAGAATCCTGGCCTCCAAGGAGCAGCCTGGCTTCACCCTCTCCAGGACGAACTTGTTTGTTCTCCTAGCAGTCCATGGTACTCTCAATACTCTTCTCTAGCACCAAAGCTCAAAGGCATCAAATCTCCTTTTATCATCCCTAGTCATTGTCCAACTCTCTGATGCATAACAAGTAACTGCAAAGACCACAGCCTATATCAGGTGCATGTTAGTCTCTAGACTATCATCATTGCTCTTCAAGTACTTTGGAGAGGTGTCTGACAGCAGACTTTCCCCATGCAACTCGTCTTTTAGTTTCCTGGCTGCTGGTACCAAGAGTGTTGATTGCAGAGCTGATTACTATTATAAAACGTCAAGAAAATGTGTATACCCTATAGAAACCATAACTGCCACCCAAGCAGCTATATGCACACCCACGTTTATTGTGGCTTTGTTCGAAATAACAAAGAATGGGAAACAAACCAAGTGCCCATCAACAAATGAATGGATAGAGAAGCTCTGGTATATTCACACAATGGAATACTATGCAGCATTGAAAAACAAGAAACTCATGAAATATTATGCAAAATGGATGACCCTGGAGGACAATATGCTGAGTGAAATACCACAGTCACAAAAGGACAAATATTGTGTAGGGCCACTGTTCAAAATAACAAAGAACTGGAAACAAATCAAGTGCCCATCAACAAACGAATGGATAGAGAAGCTCTGGTATATTCACACAATGGAATACTATGCAGCATTGAAAACCAAGGAACTCATGAAATATTATGCAAAATGGATGACCCTGGAGGACAATATGCTGAGTGAAATATCACAGTCACAAAAGGACAAATATTGTGTAGGGCCACTGTTGTAAAATGGGACTGACATCAGGGTTGAGGGAAGACAGAAAAGGAGAGGAGGAATGATGTATATTGCATTGAAACAGATGAGGGAGAGATCTGTTTAAAAGGGATATATGAATGGGTATTCTTGTCCATTACAGAAGTCCAGAATGAAGGCTGCATAGTGGAGTGAACTTGGGGGGAGGGATTGTATAACAATGAGTTTTTCTTCTTCTTTTCAAGGAGAGGAGTGATTTGGGGGGGAGGGGGTGGGCAGGGAGAAATGTGCAACAATGAATTACTGGGGGAAAAAAGAAAGAAAATGTGTACATACAGAAATAAACTTTTTGAATGGTTACCAGGCCAGAAAAAGGGAGAGAAAATCATTAAACAAGTTGCTGACACCTATTAATTAGGCTAAAATGGAAGACAATGTCCAATAAAGGGAAAGTCAGCATAATATAACCAAGGCAAAGGAAGTCACTGTAAGCTACACAAGACTTATAGGATGGAACAATTAAATACTATTATATACATAATAACAAATTCTCATTTACAAGAGGATGAATAGGAAGATATACAAAAAGAATAGGTTTTGATGGTGTATGGAGCACAAAATACCAAGTCTTGGAAGAGTAAATTTCTACACTTCTATTTGTTATATGCTGCCAAGATAACCAGCCTTATCAATAAAGCACACCAAAGGCAAAGTTAGATAAACTTCTTAACCAAAACTAATTATATTCTTTGTCTCAGTGACTGGATTTGAGGATTTAGGATCGTAGTTTTGAGAGACATATAAGCCAGTTAGCATAACATACTAAACAAGTATTTTACATTCTATTTGCATTGACTCATTCAAGCCCTGTTCATAGGGTCGCTATGAGTCATATTTGACTCGACAGCACCTATCAACTTGCATTGAGAGAATGTGCTATCAAGGACCTCTTTAAAGTGCAAAAGAGCTGGGATGTCAGTTTAAGGAGTAAGATGTGCCTGATGCAAGCCATGATATTTTCAATTGCTTCCTATTGAAAGCTAGACAGTAAATAAGGATGGTAGAACTTGATGCCTTTGTACTGTGATGTTGGCAAAGAGAACCGAATATCCCATGGATTGCCAAAATAACAAGCAAATTTTGTCTTGGAGGAAGTGCAGCCAGGGTGCTCCTTAGAGGCAAAGATAGTGAAAATTAACTTTACATACTTTGAACATGTGGTGAGGAGCCAGTCCTTGGGAAAGGACATTGTGTTGAGAAAGATGGAGGATCAGAAAGAGAAGAAAACCTTCAAAGAAATGGATTGACACAGTGATTATAACTATGGTCTTGAGCATGAGAGAGACCGTGGTGCAGGATGGGGCAATGTTCCAATCTGTTGCTCAGAGGGTTGCTATGAGTCACTGTAGACTGGCCAGCACCTTACAACAACTTTGGTGAGTGCTGATGTGGGTTTTAAAAGTTTGGACCACCTGGAACGCAACTTGTGGTCTCTCCCTATTCAAAGCTGGAAGGAGTGAAGTAAAAGACCTAAGGAAATAATTCATCCACAGGACCACGAGAATCACAGTTTCCACCACCCTGAGACCAGGGAACTAGATGGTACCAGGCTACCATTACTAATCACTCTGATTGGGATCATAGCTCAAGGTCCCAGCCAAAATAGGAGAAAAATGATTAGCAATATTAAAAAATCATAAAAAAGACAAGCTTACTGGCCTGATAAATATTGGTGGAACCCCCCCAAGCTCATAGCCCTTAGACACTCTTCAAAACTAGAGTTAAGTCTAACCTGGGAACACATTTTAGGCAAGTGATAGATGGGGTGTAAGGTGAACAATGAAACCTATGAAGAACATGATTCTCAGAACAATCAGCCAAGTGAGATTATGAGAGTAATCTTTATCCAAGAGCTAAATTTAGTAGGCAGGAAGGAGGGGGACCAGTAAGAACAAACTGAAAGGGAAAATTCAGGGAGGACATGGAAGAGTTTTGTTATACTGTGAGGAGTACAATTAATATTATAAACTAAATGTATAAAAATTCTTGAATATGAAATTAATGTACTCTGTAAACATTCCACCAAATCACAGTAAAATGTTTAAAATAAAATAGACATAGCCACCTAACCCTCAAAAAAAGTCCTGGTCTTGCTAGTAATCCAATTACAGGTCTGCTCTGCTATGTTCTTGATGTGAGAATATACTGGGGCTCATTTTCAGAAGAGTAAATGAAAAGATCAATTGACACAATTATTCAATTTTATTTTAAAGGTTTTAGAATATATGTGGAGTGCTCACAAAAGTTAATGAATCATTAAAAACAACAAAATAGGGGAACATTTTACAAAGAGTGAATACCAAAATAGTCTTTAAGATGGTACCTTAACAGGCCCTTAAGTTGAGCAAAAAAAAAAAAAAAAAAAGAGTTGATGCTTAAGATTTAAGGATAAAAACTTTTATCTAATACATGCTAATGAATATATGAAAACAAACAAAGAATGAGGGGGCAAACAGATTGTATCTTATAGATTAAATTCTGCTATAAATGAACATTTTTAAGGGACTCTAGAGTCCATTTCAACAATATTGGAACAATAAAAACCCCATTACTAAAATAACGTCAACACTCCTTTGGAGTTGGCTGTTACAAACTTTATTTTGCACATAGGGTATGCATGAAAAATATCCTGGAGTGATAGAATATCTGCAAACACAAAATCATTTCTATAAATTTCACTTGCTGTTTTTGTATTACTTTGAATATATATATAACCACACTAAAATTTGAGGCTTATCCTTTTAAGGTAGGGATTGTTGTTGTTGTTCACAGGTAGTTAATCAGGTGGGAGGAGATTTCCCCATCTTTCTCCTGCAGTGCAGCTGATGGATTTGAACCACGTGTCTTTGGGACTGCAGCACAGTTTTTTACCACTAGGCCACCAGAGCTCCCTAGGGTAGGAGTTAGGGAGCTACAGATGTAAAACAAGGGCAAGTTACAACAGTTAATTTCTATGACAACAAATATTCTACTATTTTCTCCAGAATGTCAAATATTTACTAAGAAAGAAAGAGCAGATGAAATTTCATCACCATTTCCAAAAAGTCATGTGTTCAAAAGTAATCATTACAGAGTTTATACATTATGTTCTTAGACATAGATTTCATTCTAGAAAGGACAAAGTAGATGCCATCACAAGGCCAAGTATGTGAATTCTAGAATTCTAAATTATGTTTCTAACAGACATAAAATTAAAATAATGGCAACTTGTTAGTGTTCTGCATCAGGCCAAAGAAAGAACAGCAGTTTTTTTCCTGAGCACTCTATCTTTATTTAGAGCCACTAACTTGAACTTTCTATAAAAGATAATTTATTCAAATACCATTTTAACAATTATGAACAGCAGTGTGAGGGTCTAACTAGTTCAGCCAAGCAGTAAGGGCAGTAAATTTCTTCTTTAAGCTTGTCCTCCTGTCTCAATCGTTAATACTAAAATAATCTTTTTTTTCCCTCACTTCTGCAAGGGTATCCAGAAGAAAATAGAAGTTTTGGCCACCATCACAAGTCCAGGTCAAATCTCCTTTGTTTTTCAGTGTTCCAACAAAGACCACTGGATCTGCAGCTCATGCCTGTGATGATTCAGTCTTGCCCTCAATGAGAGAGATTTCCAGCACGGGTAAGAGCAGCTGAAAGGCATCCTGAATGTAAGAAGCACTGTTTGATGCCTGCCAGGATTTTTTAAAGGCGGGGGGGAGGAAGAAAGAAAAAAAAAATACCATAATTAACACAAAAGAGAAAAAATTCTACAACACAAGAAGAGACTTGAACCACCTAACTGAAGTCCCAGTCTGGTAAATAAGGAACACACATGACCATCTCAAAGAACTCCATTAAAGGGCAAAAAAAGATGTCACTCTTAGAATGATAGAAAAACACCATTTTCATTCAATTTGCCCATGAGAAATGTTATGTTCTTTGGCATCCTGCTTAAACTCAGCATCGAAAGCTTGTTTTAAAACCTAAGAGGTTCAATTCTGTCCCAGTATTTTACAGTCAATGACTGAAGAATGTTTCCGTAAGTCTGTGAATCCTTGAGCACAGCTTTGCAGCACAGCATGATAGCTCTTCTCACAGGGACACAACACAACCAGTGAACGTGTAAGATGCTGTTGTGGTTGAGTGCACCTGAGTCAACTACAACCCACAGCAACCCCATGAACAGCACAAGACACTGTTCAAAACAAAAACAAGTGGAAGAACACAAGATGGTTGTTCAAAACATAAACAAGTAATACTGATTTCTAAAACAAAACAAAATGGATATATTTCTAACTTGCACAGCAGACATATTTATGAAAAGCATTATAGAGTCACTATGCTCAAGAGTTCGCCAGACTTTATTTATATCTGAATGGCTCGCTCAATTCCAGAACAACAGAAAGTCCATTACATTAATTCAAAATGTATAATTTCAAGGACAAAAGTGTTTCAAACCTGTTAAGTATAAACAATTCAAAATGGTTATCAGTAAATCTTTTTTAGATTAAGCAGTGGCAAGTAAGTATTCATTCTTTTTAAATGTTCAGTGTGACAAAACAAACATTCCATTCAAAAGATAACTCAATGATGAACTAGTAAAATCTCCCACTTCGTATATGAAGATAAAGAGACAGCCAATCAGGAGAAGCCTCTTCCAGGGTCATAAGAAACCAGCATAGGACATCCTTAGGCAGGATTTCTATATCAGTATCTTTCAGTTAAAACACTGTGTAATCTCTTAAATCATAAACACATATAAGTACATTTATACATATTTATATAT